TACTGAACTGATGACATTTTCTGTCTTCACTTGCGAATTCAGTTGGCAGATGTTTTCAAGAACAAAAAATTCTGTCTTATTACAAAACATATTAAGCAGGTTTTCCTGCCATAATGTTTGACATGATGTTTATTGCCCAGACCAAACCAGTCCCTTTAACAAGCTATAATGTACGCCAGAAAGTACATTATTTCATAGTTAAGGAAACTTCCAGCATGAAACAATAAGTACTTTGATCTTTCAAGCACTATGCTTAATGCACTACACACTCCCATAGTCGTTCTTATTTGTAGTCATTTTGTAAAAAAACACAGTACAATTTGAGATTCTGTATTTTAAGGCTTCGCTTTTACATATTCTTGAGTGTCCCAGCTATTTCTTGGTTTTTTTTTTTTTTTTTCTATAAAAATAAAGAAAATACTTAAAGAAATGTTAACCACAGAAGAGTTCCATTTTTCCAGTTCTTGGAAAATCTAACTGCACAAGTGGAAGAATCATCCAGACAGCTCTAATTAGTTCAAAAGGCATTTCCTCATCGGATGACGACAGATCTCAATGACCCTACGAGAACATAACGGGGGATATTTATTCCTACTACTTAACAGTCTGAAACAATTTCTCCAGCGTGTTTGACATAAACAAATTTTCCTTCAATGTTTGGTGGAAGTGACACCTTCTTGTGGGGGTATTTTTCATCTAGTCCCTCCGTAGTGGTTGGCCCTGCTTGGCAAAGATGTAAAGGCTGACTCAGGTTGCTCAAAATTCTTTGATGAGGACCGTTATGAAGCATACACCATCCTTAAATATTTCTGTGGCATGACAATATGTTTTATTTCCAGAGCTCAGTGAGTCAAACGCATGCTCTACTCCACAGAAAGTAAAGGTCGTGTATAAATTGTCCTTTGAGATATTACCCCAACCTGTGGTTGCCGTTAAGACAGTCCCAGGGGGCAAAGGAACGGAGGTTCCTGCAGCTCCCACAGACCCAAGGACCAGCAGCAGTTTTATTGTTTTAAGAAACCTTTCTATATTAGAGCCTTATAAAGAAAAATACCCAAAGAATGACAGAATCACAGAATGGTAGGGGTTGGAGAGGACCTCTGGAGATCATCCAGTCCAACCCCCTGATAGAGCAGAGCCACCCAGAGCAGGTTGGACAGGAACGGGTCTTTCAGAATAGAACACCAACCACATCAGAAAACTCAATTTCAGCCAATTTGCCCAGGAAAGGAGACCACCACCCACACTGTCACTAAAACTTATGCTACTTATCTCCTTGGTTTGAAGGAAATCAAATCAAGGCAACGTCAACAGCGACACGTGAGGCGCAGAGCCGTGCAATAACGACACGGGGATGGAGTCATGCATGTTACGTTTCGGGGGTCAAACCTCCCAAAGCCAAATTTCGTGCCTCAGCGAGCAAAAGAGTCACATGAAGGTGGAACTGCTAAAGAGGTATCAAAAAAAAAATAAAAAAATACACTGTCAATGTGAAAATCTGTAGGGAGTGGGAAGATGGCTTGGAGGATGGAGGGAATAATCATGTCACATTTAAGCCCGTATGATCTGTTTCCATAGAAAAAGGTTAGAGATCAACAAATTCTCAGTTTGGTTCAGTCATAAATGAAGGTTGGCCAGGGTATTAAGTTTCTGGGGGGAAGCATTAGCCAATACGTACAGCAGCAGCCTCTGGTGGTCTAAGAAAAAATGGTAGTATGTATAAGTAAGGCTAGAAATATGTTTTTTAAAGGGATGTATGTACATATTTAGCTATTTGACTCAATCCTCCGTTCAACACATTAAAAAACAGATGCTTTTAAAATGATCTGCTGGCAATATGCTTGTTAAAATCTGAACAGTAAGAGTATTAAAATTCATATGCATTCATTAGCATGTTATATAAATGTAAAATGCTTTTGTTTAATCATTCCATAAAGTATTATAGTCAATGCTGATTATCAAGAAGGTTTTTTTTTTTTTCCCCTTGGTTTGCATCGACAAAAAAGAAACCAAATTTATAAGATTGTTACTGAACTGATGACATTTTCTGTCTTCACTTGCGAATTCAGTTGGCAGATGTTTTCAAGAACAAAAAATTCTGTCTTATTACAAAACATATTAAGCAGGTTTTCCTGCCATAATGTTTGACATGATGTTTATTGCCCAGACCAAACCAGTCCCTTTAACAAGCTATAATGTACGCCAGAAAGTACATTATTTCATAGTTAAGGAAACTTCCAGCATGAAACAATAAGTACTTTGATCTTTCAAGCACTATGCTTAATGCACTACACACTCCCATAGTCGTTCTTATTTGTAGTCATTTTGTAAAAAAACACAGTACAATTTGAGATTCTGTATTTTAAGGCTTCGCTTTTACATATTCTTGAGTGTCCCAGCTATTTCTTGGTTTTTTTTTTTTTTTTTCTATAAAAATAAAGAAAATACTTAAAGAAATGTTAACCACAGAAGAGTTCCATTTTTCCAGTTCTTGGAAAATCTAACTGCACAAGTGGAAGAATCATCCAGACAGCTCTAATTAGTTCAAAAGGCATTTCCTCATCGGATGACGACAGATCTCAATGACCCTACGAGAACATAACGGGGGATATTTATTCCTACTACTTAACAGTCTGAAACAATTTCTCCAGCGTGTTTGACATAAACAAATTTTCCTTCAATGTTTGGTGGAAGTGACACCTTCTTGTGGGGGTATTTTTCATCTAGTCCCTCCGTAGTGGTTGGCCCTGCTTGGCAAAGATGTAAAGGCTGACTCAGGTTGCTCAAAATTCTTTGATGAGGACCGTTATGAAGCATACACCATCCTTAAATATTTCTGTGGCATGACAATATGTTTTATTTCCAGAGCTCAGTGAGTCAAACGCATGCTCTACTCCACAGAAAGTAAAGGTCGTGTATAAATTGTCCTTTGAGATATTACCCCAACCTGTGGTTGCCGTTAAGACAGTCCCAGGGGGCAAAGGAACGGAGGTTCCTGCAGCTCCCACAGACCCAAGGACCAGCAGCAGTTTTATTCTGTTTCAAGAAACTCTCTATATTAGAGCCTTATAAAGAAAAATACCCAAAGAATGACAGAATCACAGAATGGTAGGGGTTGGAAGGGACCTCTGGAGATCATCCAGTCCAACCCCCTTCCAGAGCAGGGCCACCCAGAGCAGGTTGGACAGGAACAGGTCTTTCAGAATAGAACACCAAGCACATCAGAAAACTCAATTTCAGTCAATTTGCCCAGGAAAGGAGACCACCACCCACACTGTCACTAAAACTTATGCTACTTATCTCCTTGGTTTGAAGGAAATCAAATCAAGGCAACGTCAACAGCGACACGTGAGGCGCAGAGCCGTGCAATAACGACACGGGGATGGAGTCATGCATGTTACGTTTCGGGGGTCAAACCTCCCAAAGCCAAATTTCGTGCCTCAGCGAGCAAAAGAGTCACATGAAGGTGGAACTGCTAAAGAGGTATCAAAAAAAAAATAAAAAAATAAAAAGGTTCAGTTTCATCCAGGGGACACTGGTCCATTTCCTGGAGAATAAAGCAACATCCGTCCACCGTAGACAAGTTCCGACCCTTCCGAAGCAGGGTCTGGCTGTGGGGCAGAACAGCATCCCTCAGAAAAAGCAGTGGTGACTTTGACTATAAAAAATAAAAAGGTTCAGTTTCATCCAGGGGACACTGGTCCATTTCCTGGAGAATAAAGCAACATCCGTCCACCGTAGACAAGTTCCGACCCTTCCGAAGCAGGGTCTGGCTGTGGGGCAGAACAGCATCCCTCAGAAAAAGCAGTGGTGACTTTGACTATGTACATGCATCCTTTTGTTTCCCGTTCTCAGCAGCCAGACAGCTCTCAAAAAACACCGCAATATTTACGGTATTTGTGATAATCTGGCATCCAGGTTACAAACCCTTTTAACCAGCCGGTGTTTCTCCCACACACGATGCTATCACAAACCACAATTAATAGGAAGACGTTAAAATTTAAGATGATCCTGATTGCTGTTTTTTTTTCTCTGTTTTGCACCATATACATTTTTACTGTTTTAACTGCGCCGGGGCGCTTCTGACAACGTTTTACCCTTTGAATGGAAACGCTAACTTTCATAATAAGGGCTTTGGAAATTGCATGACTCAGTCTCGAATGTATAATGCATAGTATGTATATGAAGCAGAATGTGTCAAAGTGCAAATAATATTGTTTGTGCCCCCTGCAGAATTAGAAATCCTCGGGTAGCACTGTTATAACGATCCCATGCTGGTAGCATTACAAAGTGCAAAGGTTCACTGAGTAAGAAAAGAGCAAGGGACAGAGTTTCCTCATTACACCATTCCCGAACTATTCTAGCTTAAATATTTATTAAGATATTAATAACTCTCCTCCTTTATCTGCCTTCTGAAGTTCAGCTGAAACACAATGGATGGCTGCTCATATGAAAACAATACATTATAGGGTAAATCTGCTACCACACAAGATGAACACCGGTATTTTCCGCAATACATTATTAATTCAGCAGGTAATATGTTAAAAACCTATCAGGCTATAACTACTGCCTCCCCAGTATAAGACAGCACAACACAATAAATGCATGCATGACATGTGAAGCTAATATTTTGCCTAAGCTGCACAAGAAAGTGTTCCTTACGTACACCTCTGTTTATAAAATCATTTTTACAAAGTCTTCCTTAAATCACTCCCTTTCTTGATAGCACCAGTGAGTTCCTCTGGGGTTTATTTGAAGTTCCCCTTTGAAATTAGAAAGGAATGTTTTGCAACTCTTCCCAAACTCCGCATTTGGCAAGTGACAAAAAATATCAGTAGAATAAAGAGCCAGGAACTCTGGATGAACTCTTGAATGCCATCTCAGTGCTGTGTTTGTTTTTTACCAAAAAAAAAAAAAGCACCCCGTTTACCAGCCAGTATGGACAGTAAACACATCTATAAATCACTAAAGAAGGGCAAAGGAAACCAAAAGAAACTTACTCTAATATACATCTGCATAGTTTCTTTCTCTTTTTGCGGATTTCGATACTTTTCGTAGAAGTCACGTCGCTTCTTTGTTTCTTTCTGGATTTTATCTTTTCTTTCCCTCTTTTCGGCAGGTTCATCTGAGCTATCAGAAGACAGCTGTACTTGGGCTTTTGTCTTCTCCACTTCAATATAGTTCTCATTGGGATTCAGTACTATTACTCCATAGCCTTCCTGTTGTGGAAGAGAGAGAGACACACACACACACCCACAAAAAGAAGAAATATGAAAAGGGAGATTTAATGCTTGAAAATGCTCTGCATATTTATTTAATGCTCTTAAAAACTTTTATATTTATTTCAGTAAGTTCGCACAACGTGATTTATAGAAGGGTGTTTTAAGAATATTCTGTTTGTTTCTTTTCTGTCATTAAAAGGATATTGATGTGTGAATATGTGTCTGTGCGTGCACTTATGCTCACGCACATCCCTCAGCGTCAGAAAAGTTGCCTGTTTTTACCTTTAAAATAATTTAATATGTTGTTTTATTCATAAGCACTTTATACGACTTTTTCAGAAAACAGTAGGGGAACTAAAAGGAAAATATTATTTTAAGAACTCTGCATAATGATGAATAAAAAAGCTTTATACCCAGCCAGTAAAAAACTGTAAAATAAAAAGGATGGAGGAATTCCATATACATATATATATACACACATCTAAAATAAAGCAAGCATGTGGAAATTATTCACCCCAGTATAAAATAGTAAACCCTTTTGTCTAGCTGACAACGAGCAGACCATGCAGAAGCCAATAGCGGCCCTAACAATGAATCAATACCACCACTGATTCAGTGGTCCCGCTCACAAGTCAACTCTTTTTGCTGTGGGGAGGACGACTTTCAAGTGTATCTTTAAATCTGCTCTAAAACTTCTCCGGGATTACGTCCCGTATTCAGCAAACCCGGAGAAAATTCGTGACCTGCAGGATGCTTTTTGAGCATACCAGCTGCATTTTTGTGCCTCAGAAAATGAGCTGGTTGGAAAAAAAAAAAAAAAATAACACCAAAAACCATGAATTTATGAATGAGAAATAAATCTTGAATAAATCAGCCAATCATTTTATTATGATTTTTAAATGATGGCAAATCACACAATAACGTTCGCGGAAGATATAATGGCGAAGGCAGGGAGAAAAGGGGAGCACGTGCGTTTAACAGATGAGCCCTTAAAGTTACCATGGGCTCCCAGTCAAAACCAAGCCATCCTTTAAGAGTAAATTTTAATAAAGACTTACTTTTTTGGAAACGTCTATATTAATTATCTAGCTGAACAGCTTCATTTCCAGCTTTTCACCGGGTGCTTCGCTCTGGGCCGGGCAGGAGGATCAAAGAGGTTCCCCCCGTACCTAGCTGGCCAGAGCAAAAAAAACCCAACAAAAGATACTTTATTTGGGGCTGGCTTTTATTCTAATCTGTCGGGCCATTCACAAACCTTGTAGCGCATTGTGGCCACTGTCAGGTAGACAGATTGTCACTCGGTGATTTTCTACAGTTGGACACACTCGACTAGTTATCAAAATCGCATCTGAAGGCAGCTCCCTACCCCTCGTCCTCGCGCTCCGCTCAGGCGTCCGCCGGCCCTTCTCCTCCCACCGAAAAATAAAAGCCAAGTTAAAGGGCACGGTTGCACTCTGCTAAACAGGGTGAAATAGAGGCATTCAGGGCACTGTCTCTGGCCTAAGGGATGTCCCCCCAAAAAAGAAAAAAGGTCACCACAGGCCACCGAGAACATCGCCCCCGGGCCCGGCGCGGGGCGGCATGAGTAAGTGGTCTCCTGTCACCCTTCTCCCCTGCCCGCCCCAACGAGGGGACACCCAGAGGGTAAAACGCCAACAAACGGGCCAAAAAAAGTACATAAACCAAGGGGGAAGGGCAAAGGGCAAAGGGAAAATCAAAGAGAGAAGTTTACAATCGACCCTGGCCACCGCTGGTGAATGGTAACGCTCTGGACCATCAAGACGTCGAATCTCCAACTTGGGAAATGCAAAGCCCAAAATCCATCTCCGGGGAGAACACCCCTCTCAAACATTCCTGGTTCACACGCCGCAGGCGAAAGGATGGGTTTCGGGCTCCCAAAGGACAGAGTTAGACCAAGTTTTGGTGATTTTGGGGCTCCTGGTGCTGTTGGCCATCCCAACCCTCTCCTTTGGAAGCGGGGACCTTCTCCTACCCACTTTTTTCCCCTCCCCGCACAGCCCCGAAGGCAAAATTTGTGTTTTTATTGCAGGTCTACAAGTGCTACAGGGATTTGAAACTCGGCGTCCACTCCAAGCTGACCACAAAACAGACACATAAATCATCAAAGAAGTAGAATTTGTCTAAGTTATTGATTATGTAACTGAAAATTACATGACTCATTTGTCCAATTTTACGAGGACACAATGTCAATTTTTCACATAGACATCAACAGATGAAATATGATTCCATTTCTAAATTCACTATTTCGTAGATCAATTAAAGGATTTTTATCAATTATATTTTAAGCAGTGTAACATGCCTACCCTTACACTTTTTTCTTTCATTTCTCCCAGACAGCAGGCCTTTCCTATCAGTACAATTAAAATAATTAAGTAATAACTAAGACGGGCTTTCCCATAATTGAGAGAAAAAATAATCTTGCCATTCATAAGACTTTCTCTTAGGAGAGTAATCTCTTTTCAGATTGTTTTGCTTGCGTGACATAGTGTATTTCTCCTTCCCTTGTCCTTCTGCCTCCTGAATTGCAAGAGGTGAACAATGGCAGCAGAAAGAAGATGTGATGGTAAAAGGTAACACGGAAAAACAAAATGACTGGTAGAATTGTACCCAATTACAACCTCTCACATTCAGCCTTAGCCCGGGTTTTTTCTACTGAACGTGAACACTCAGCTCTAGATAACATCTATGTAAACACTGCGGCCTCTAAGTTGGATTAATTCTCAGAAGATGTATTTCACAGGCGCATCAAACTTTGGTGCAGCCAGAGAATTACCCTGGGGCTCCAGGGGGACACGGTGGGGCTGAGCAGGGGGCAAGTCACCACCAAACTGGGCACACACAAAACTACTGATATATCTCAAAAACAGGGCTGTGAGCAAACTTTAATAGTAGCCAAGACACGCAGAGAAAATCAGAGTCACTAAAAAAGCGTCTTTTTAAGTGAAAGTCGTGTCCAGAAGTGCATACCTCACCACGTCATTTAAAAATATCGATTATTTCAGTCACGACGACCTTACAGAGTTATTAAAATGTAGTGACCTATGATGTCAGTGGCAGTTTTTAAGCATGAGGGATGTTTCTGACACATGTAACGGGCGCAGTTCTTCCCTGTGTCTCCAGCACACTCAGAAGGAGAAACCCCTGGCCAAAGAGCTCAAGTTTTTTCCTGGTGAAAAGCTAAACTTTGGTACAAACACCCTCCCCCCCCTTCCCTCCATCAATCATGAGCTGACAGAAGGAAGCCAAGCCCCGCGCTCTGCCACATGTCTGAGAGAATACAGATGCTGCACAGAAGCCCAAGTCTGCCCGTGGTGTCCCCCGTCAGCGTATCGGTGAGGGGACACCACGATCAGGATGGACACTCAGGCTCTCACCTACCAACTCCACGGGAAAAGTCATAATTTCTTCCTCAGACTAAACCACCCAGTTAATTTCCCCAAGTTCCAATGCTTTCGGATAGGCAAAATGTAATTTTAACTACTGGCATCCTCCTAACTGAAAATTACATGACTCATTTGTCCAATTTTACGAGGACACAATGTCAATTTTTCACATAGACATCAACAGATGAAATATGATTCCATTTCTAAATTCACTATTTCGTAGATCAATTAAAGGATTTTTATCAATTATATTTTAAGCAGTGTAACATGCCTACCCTTACACTTTTTTCTTTCATTTCTCCCAGACAGCAGGCCTTTCCTATCAGTACAATTAAAATAATTAAGTAATAACTAAGACGGGCTTTCCCATAATTGAGAGAAAAAATAATCTTGCCATTCATAAGACTTTCTCTTAGGAGAGTAATCTCTTTTCAGATTGTTTTGCTTGCGTGACATAGTGTATTTCTCCTTCCCTTGTCCTTCTGCCTCCTGAATTGCAAGAGGTGAACAATGGCAGCAGAAAGAAGATGTGATGGTAAAAGGTAACACGGAAAAACAAAATGACTGGTAGAATTGTACCCAATTACAACCTCTCACATTCAGCCTTAGCCCGGGTTTTTTCTACTGAACGTGAACACTCAGCTCTAGATAACATCTATGTAAACACTGCGGCCTCTAAGTTGGATTAATTCTCAGAAGATGTATTTCACAGGCGCATCAAACTTTGGTGCAGCCAGAGAATTACCCTGGGGCTCCAGGGGGACACGGTGGGGCTGAGCAGGGGGCAAGTCACCACCAAACTGGGCACACACAAAACTACTGATATATCTCAAAAACAGGGCTGTGAGCAAACTTTAATAGTAGCCAAGACACGCAGAGAAAATCAGAGTCACTAAAAAAGCGTCTTTTTAAGTGAAAGTCGTGTCCAGAAGTGCATACCTCACCACGTCATTTAAAAATATCGATTATTTCAGTCACGACGACCTTACAGAGTTATTAAAATGTAGTGACCTATGATGTCAGTGGCAGTTTTTAAGCATGAGGGATGTTTCTGACACATGTAACGGGCGCAGTTCTTCCCTGTGTCTCCAGCACACTCAGAAGGAGAAACCCCTGGCCAAAGAGCTCAAGTTTTTTCCTGGTGAAAAGCTAAACTTTGGTACAAACACCCTCCCCCCCCTTCCCTCCATCAATCATGAGCTGACAGAAGGAAGCCAAGCCCCGCGCTCTGCCACATGTCTGAGAGAATACAGATGCTGCACAGAAGCCCAAGTCTGCCCGTGGTGTCCCCCGTCAGCGTATCGGTGAGGGGACACCACGATCAGGATGGACACTCAGGCTCTCACCTACCAACTCCACGGGAAAAGTCATAATTTCTTCCTCAGACTAAACCACCCAGTTAATTTCCCCAAGTTCCAATGCTTTCGGATAGGCAAAATGTAATTTTAACTACTGGCATCCTCCAGGTAACTCCTTCTGGAGGTCGAGGACTCTGTGGAAACTCCATTTCCAGCTTCATAAATATAAATACAATTAATACCAATTATTAAGCCAGCAAACAATGATGAAAGGGAAAGGAAAAACAGGCTGACA